ACTTATGTAGACAGCAGGAAATGTTGCGCTTAGCTGTCACTGGGTCCTCTTGGAGACCCTCCACGAAGTCATTCATCGATACCTTTGAGGTTGGTCATCTTCTTACGTCGGCTTCCGTGCTCTGGACCTCTGCGCTATTTCCACCTCGGGGACATCCCCTTACGACCTCCATTCAACTCAACCCTCCGCTTTGGCCTTTTGTTTTCCCAGAGCCATCAGATCTTGGTTGAGTACAGTATGCCACACTTCCCGCAACTCAAATTGGTCACTTCGGCGCGACCCCACGTCCAAGTGTGCCCTCATCAGCCACTTTTTTTAAGTGCTCTTGGTTCATCACACGAGTTGGTCTCCCGAACCGATTCAGCCTCGTTTACCAAGCTTCGACATGTCGAGCAGAGGGCAGAATTGTTAGCCAAGGGATGGAGTCGGCCGCAATCTGTGTAGGCCTCAAACCTTTCACGGAATTATGCCGTAAGGATCATTTCAACTGGGAACGCTGGTTATTATAGTACATCACGGGGGGCATGCCGCCGACTCATCGTGCTTAAATAGTCGGTGGACGAATGACAGCGCAGGGGCAGGTTTCTTCCATTTTGTTGGGGACGGTGTTGTTGACGCTTTCGTGGCAGGCTGCCGTCGTCCCCCAAGGAAGCCGTGGGCGACCACTTGTTTCAAAGTGTACCGTTGAATTGGTTGCGGCTCGAGCATGTGCTCCAACAAGTCGACGGCACACTCATCCAATTCGACCCCCCAATTCGCAATGAGGCTGCGCAAACCGTGCGCTTTGAAGTATTCAAAGGTCGGGTCGGTTGGGGAAGCCAGTTGCCAGAGAGGGACGCCAGTCAACATCATGAATAGAATGACTCCGAGGGACCACACGTCGGCTTGGCGCGGGTTGTACGTGCGGCCTAGGACAACTTCGGGGGCCATGTAGAAGCGCTTGCCGACTGTTTCGTCGCACACAGGGACTCCCGCCGACGTGGCGAGGCCAAAGTCGCACACTTTGCAGTTGTGGTGTCGGTCGAGAAGGACGTTTTCAAGGGACAAGTCGCGGTGAGCGATCCCTTTGTCGTGCATGTAGCCGACGGCGTGAACGAGCTGTCGAAAGTAGCGCTTGGCTATGGGGGGGAGAAGGGGGCCGTTGCGAAGGGCGTCATAGAGGTCACCTCCCGGGCAGTAGTCAAACACCATGTGATCATGTCCATCCTGCACAAAGTCGAACCGCATTCGAAGGATGTGGGGGTGTCCCCCGTGGCTGCTCAAAAGACGGTTCACGTGCTTTTCGATAGCAGTATTGTCAGCAAGACAGCCGCGACGCGTGCGGTCCACGGAGCGATGTGCTTCTGCCGCGAGACGGTCAATCTGTTTGATGGCGACACAATCGCCTGTTTCTGTGTCGTGGGCTAGAACGACGTGGCCATTCCGTGCATCGGCAATTGTTCGCTGAACCGTGAATCGATTCATCACGACGGGGAAAGTTGAATTGTGAGGCGTCATCCATCTCACCTGCTTGCTTTGTTGGGCGTACGCAGTGCTTGCTCCAATCACCCTGTGAACTAGCCAGACAAGCGACACAGACATGATGGCACTAGCTGGACTCGAAACCTTCTCCACCCGCAGCTGGGCCAGGTGGGGGCATAGTCACGGGGACGATTTGGTGTAGGGGACGATCGGGCCCCATTCAGTCGTTGAGACCCTATACGGACAGCTTAACCTTCGACTACATGGCGCAATGCATGCGTTATAAACACTGCCGCAGCAAGAGGTCATCGTCCATGGGGGTATCTGCGCAAGTCGTCCGTTACAGTTGCATATCTCGCCTGAAAGTCCTCGAAAGAAGTCGTCCAACGACGCCACAGGTACGACCAAGGTGTTAGGTCGGGTGGCCAATCTCTGCCGGCCGTTCCAAGACCTCCAGGTACCGTTTTACTGTTGTGTGCAAGCGGCCACGTTTGAGCGATGGTGCAGAGGTGTCGAGGTCTGAGGTGGTGCCTTGCTCCGCCGCCTACACGCCGCCCTCTAACGTGTGACTATCCAGGAATCTTTAAATGCCTCTCAACTTGGTAAACGTGTGGGGCGGCCCTCGATCGGTCCATGGGGCATCTCGACTTCCATCATGCCCTTCGCAATAAAACTGGCCGCACTTGGGGTGACTTGGTATAAGTTCAAGTTCGATGCAAGGGTCTGTCAGTTCGATGGAGGTGTTACATGACCCGATTGGATCGGCCCCAACTTGGTTGTGCGTTCAATGCCGATTGCAAGCCATGAGCTTCTATACGAAGCTGAACACGCCACCTACTGGATGCAAGGCCAGAAAAAGTGCTTGGAAGATGCTGGGGATCTCTGCGCATTTCCTGTGACATGAAATTTTTGAACTACAAGATGTCCACATGAATGGCGGCACCGAGTCGTCGGCTGCAGTGCGAATGTCGCGGCGAAAGCGACCTACTCACCTGACGGGCGCGCTTCCATCGCTCGTTTCGCAAACGGGCTGGCATCCACCGGCCATCGCAATATTGAGCCAGCTTGTCAGAGTCTCAACAGAATTCCATGCCATGATTTCCCCACATGGCGTGGATGACTCAGCTGGGAAGCCATGTGGTAGTAGAGGAATCCCGCAACTCCTTACGAAACACGACTTGTTGACACTCGTGGTCGTCATATTCCTGAGCCAGGTGTTGGCCGCGTGGACGGCCTCTCGGATATAGATGTGGCGCAGGCTACGAAAGTTGTCCGTCCGACCAGGTCCGTACAAGAAGAGCGCAGTAGGCCATCATCGAGACGGCGAGATTGCAGTCGCACGCTGTCAAACCCCAAGTCCTACAATCATGGCAGCGTTTGAAACCAACCATTCAATGCCAAAGTCTACTTGACGCCATGAAAGGCCATCGGCTTGCGAAGTGCCTCCTCGCATCTTCAAAGTAGTATCCAGCCGACTCATCCTGACAGATCAGACATGTGGCCTCCAAGTGTACCATGTGTTGGCTGAAATTATCGCCATACCGTCCGCTGGGCTCCAGGACGGCCCTGCAGTCTTGATGACCAAGGCTAGAACAAGGCGAGTACGATATCGCTGTTGGCATGACTGCACGATTTTGTGCAAGTGGCATCGATCGCTGTTGACACAGCTACATGGAAACCTTGCTGGATGATTCCTTGCACAGGTAGGAATGTTTGAATAAATAACGCGGGGACAGATCTGTTGGAGCGACTACTACAGCACTGCAGCGCCCCCCATGGAGCGATGGAAAAAGCGTTGGACGATCGCGAATGCCTTGGACGTCGTGGTGGCTTTGTGGGGGAACGCATCGCCTTTTAATGCCACGGGGCTGTCGACGCGCTCGAATACACGGTCACGGACAAACTCGTGAGCGACCACTTGGTCCATGCGGTAGCGGTTGTCGGGGTTGACGCATAGCATGTGCTCGAGGAGGTCCAGTTCATCCTGTCCCATTTCGATATGCCACGATTCCAAGAGCCTCCGCACGCCATGACGTTTCAAGTACAAGAAGCGTGAATCGGGGAGGGAGGCTGACGTGCACAGGGGCACTGCCGTCAGCATCATGAACAGCATGACTCCCAACGACCACACGTCTGCCTTGGCAGGGTCATACTCGCGACCAGCGAGGGACTCGGGGGCGATGTAAAATGGCTTCCCCACGACATCGTGGCACCGACTAGACACCGATGCAGCCAGCCCAAAGTCGCACACGTAGCAGTTATCGTTGTGGAGCAGGACGTTTTCAAGGGACAGATCGCGATGGGCGATCCCCTTGGCGTGCATGTACGACGTTGCAAGGGCAAGCTGGCGAAAGTAGCGTTGGGCAACTGGCGGGGGGAGGGGGCCATGGTCGAGCGCGTCGAAGAGGTCCCCCCCAGCGCAATAATCAAAGATCATGTGGTCGTAGCCGTCTTGAATGAAGTCGGCGCGCATGCGAAGGATGTGAGGGTGGCCGCCGTTAGCACTCAGAATCCGATTTACGTGTTTCTCTATCTCAATGTCTTCGTCAACGTGGCGGTGGTCGCCCCGGACAAGTTCGTGCTTTCGCGCGGCGAACACGTCCATTTTCTTCATGGCCACCATGTCGCCCGTCGCGGTGTCTTGGGCCAGCACGACTTGGCCATACAGAGCGTCGGCAATGACGTGGTGTGTCGTGTATCTCTGCAGCATCGTGGTGGCCCGAATGGGGCGAATGCAAAATGAAAGCCCTGGCGCATGCTTCCTCCGAAAAGAACGCTTTGCGTCGCAAAAACAAGTGCGCAGCCCTCCGACCCGTTGGTCTTTGCAGCCAGATGATGCTCCGTCATCGCAAGTTCAATCCAGCGCCATGCCAAGTTGGGCTGGACTATACGGTTTTTGGTCTTGCGTTTGTTACCCACAGCACATGGACATGCACGTTCGTTAGTCAACATGGCGACAGCGGGGGAAGCGGCGATGGCCTCTCGAATGGAGCTCGCTATCGCTGGCAGTCCACTGGAGGGCTGCAATCAGTGCGTGCGTGGTCGCCCTTTCAGTGTTTCATGTGCCTTTCGTTACCCTGGCAGATCTGTTTCCATTGAAACATGGACGACATTATTGTGTGCAAAGACCAGCGGTTCCGACGTCTTGTTCGTGTTCACATGCTAGAAAAAAACGGTGCGGCGGAGTTTGACCACGTCGGAGGAACCACCTCGAATGGATTCGTCCGACGTGCATCAAGTAGCGCTTGACTGGCCAACAATGACAAACGAGCTTCCGCGTTGGAGGAGCCTTGTGCAGCACTACTCCCCCCCCCCGCGATGGCTCTCTCTTTTCGAGCAATTCGTTCGGGCTGCGGCTCTGTCGGCAGAGGTCACATCGCAACTGGAACAGGGCCAGGCTGGTTGCAGGGACCTGTTGACCTCCCAACGCACACAAGTACCAACATGGATGGGTAACCTGCTGACGTTAAAAGCTCCTTTTGCCATTCGTCAGAACCACCAAACGACTGAAAGCATGCTCTGGTCGATGATTCGGATGCTGCAAAGCCACAAAACCTTGACTTGCAATTGTAAATTAACCCAAAATAAATACACGACCCGACTAATTGCACGCCAAGGAGTGGACGTCCGCAACCTTTCGTTTGAACAAGCGGCGGAGCATCGACACGGGCTTGGCCTTGACGGCCGAGGTTGCGTCGATGGCATCGGACGAAACGGATTTGGGCGACGCCACACGGACACCGCCGACGTACATGTGGCTGACGACTTGCTGCATCGTGAAGCGGTCGGACGGGTTCACGCGAAGCATGTTCTCGAGCAAGTCGATCACTTGGGGGTCTACCTTGATGTTCCACGATGCGACTAACTTGGCGAGGCCGTGTTTTGTAAAGTAGGCGAATCGGGAATCCCGTGGCGTCGCTTTCATGCACATGGGGGAACCAGTGACGAGCATGAACAACATGATGCCGAGCGACCACACGTCCGCTTGGGCCGGGTCGTAGTGACAGCCTTGGACGACTTCGGGGGCCATGTAAAAGTGTTTTCCAACCGTTTCGTCGCACGGCATCGTCGCGGACGTCGCGAGACCAAAGTCGCACACGTAGCAATTGTTTTTGGCATCCAGGAGGACGTTTTCAAGCGAAAGGTCGCGGTGGGCAATTCCGTTCGAATGCAAGTGGGTGACGGCGCTGGCGATTTGCCGAAAGTAGCGCTTCACGAGCGGTGGGGACAGTGCGCCATGTTCGAGAACGTCAAACAAGTCGCCGCGTGCGCAGTAGTCAAACACCATGTGGTCGTCGTCGCCTTGGACAAAGTCGTCGCGCATGCGAAGGATGTGCGGGTGCGCGCCATGGTGGCGCAGGAGTCGGTTGACTTGCTTTTCGACTTGAATGTCTTCCGGCACGCGAGACATGCCATCGCGCACGACGGTGTGCGTGGCCGCCGCCGCCGCGTTCATCTTCTTGATGGCCACGAGGTCTCCCGTGCGGACGTCGTGGGCCAACAGCACTTGGCCATACAGCGCATTCGCGATTGTTTTCTCCACGCAGTAGTTCTCCATCTTCACGTTGGCAACGATTGCACAATGGCATTGTCATTCAGTAGTGGAACCGTCCGTCGAAAGTTCGTCAAGTGTTCCGACGTTGCATAGCAACGCATGCCAAACGACGGAACAGGCCAGGAGATCCTGTAGTATACGCGCGTGCTTTTCGAACATTCTTCCGGATGGGCCTGGATAATGTATTCGAATCGGGGCCTTTCACGACATTCATTCCGATGTCAACGCGCTAGTATTCAATAAAAGTATGCTTCCGTCTTGATCGTTGCGATATGAATGGATGGCGCACGCGACAACAAACGCAGTGGACGTCGTGTGCAGAAAAGCGAAGGGCGGACAGGACGTTTGATGCAAGTACAAAGAGTGGGGTTCAGTCAACTGGAGCTCATGCCTTCGCTCGTCCCAGGCTGTTTTTGTCGCGTGGACGGCTTTGTCTTGTTGGATCATGGGGTTGCATTCCCTGGAATTCCATGCGGGAATCGCGTTGCTATTTCTAGTCGTTCCACAGAAACCTTTGTTGCGGTGGCCGAGAGAATTCGCGGGAGAGAGAACGGTCGTTCTCCCTTGGCGACGTGGCCCAGCCTCCGTGCCTGGAATTCGATACTGTACAGGCAGTGGCCACAAGGGCATATAGTGTACGGGCAGTACGCATGGAGTGAGTTTGGAGCCAGGAGAGTGTAATTCCAACGTGCCCCAAGCAAGAACGCCCGACAGGTTCAGAGTCCTCCTCGTTCTGACTCGTGAATTTCGAAACATGCAGCTGGTTCGGCAAGATACATTCATGGCCGAACACTATTTTAGCCAATTAAACACAAGACGACGAAGAGGGAGACGTTTGATTGGTGGGAATTCAAGACCATGGTCGAAATCAGCTATAGAATTCGTCAACACAAAAAAAATGAATTTTCACGAAACCACGCGGTTTACCTTTCTACCGTCCCACTCGTTGATTGTTGCGCTTACTAAATTCCCGTCCAGAGCAGTTTACCTCGATCGCACGAGACACGCGCTGTGTTGGTCCGTCTTGAGAAGTTTCAGCTGCTTGTGCGAAGTACAGATATGTGTCCAGCCTGCATACAGGCGACGAAGGCGCTACGCGCGCGGAAATCGTTGAAGGGCATGAACGAAATCGCTGAAGTCCTTGCGGCTCCCCCACATTGTCCCACGTGGTCAACTTCGAGTTACTTGCCGCAGCTGCTCGAAGGGGTGGATTGGGGCCATGAGCATGGACATGGAGGGCCATGAGCCCAAAGACGCTGCGACGTGGAGGGAGAACGAGGCTAGCATCTGTGAAATAAGATCCCAAAGTAAATTGTTGCATTCTCCGCCGCACAAAACGGAATTCGCACGTAAACTAGTCGGCATGGATTACCTGATCACATCGAGATTCCCGTCTACTGATTGGCTGACTCCATCGATGTTGCCATGTGATTGGCCGAGACAATGCACTCGATTCACGCGGAACAGCGCGACTCTCCCGACTCGTGGCGGAGTCAACGGCCCGACGTCGCGGGCGCCGACGCGACTCCGGTCCGCCTGAAAGGAACAAGGGTCACTAGTGAGCCTCGTGGATCTTATTTGGGCACGCATGCCGTTTCATGCTCAAGGGGGCGCCGTCGTAAACCTTCGAACTTCGATTTGTGTCCCCGCGCCGCCCGCGACAAAAACGACGATCGTTTCAATCCGGAATTTTGTCTTACCATGGAACAGTACAACGTCCAGCGAGTCCTGGCGACAGCGCTCTTTGGCGATGTTGTCCTGTGCGAGGACAGACGTACCGGCGATCATGTGGCCATCAAGCGCATGCATCTCGCCGCAGCGAAAGACCAAAAGACCCTCGTCGACCAGAAAATCGTCGCCGAGAACGTCGACTTTGAAGCGCAGGTGAACCACACAATCCACGCCGCCGGAGGACATCCCCACGTCCTGCGCATGCGTACAGAGTTTGTCCAGCACGACTACCTCCACTTTGTCTACGACTACTGTGAAGGAGGCGACCTCCTTGACAAGCTCGCGGCAGCTACACGTTTCGACCGACACACCGCGCTCACGTATTTCAGCGACATCGTGGCGGCTGTTCATCGGTTGCATGAGATCGGGTTTGCCCACCGCGATCTGTCCTTGGAGAACGTGCTGCTGGGTGGGGACAACGATTGCCAGTTGTGTGACTTTGGCTTGGCTTGTGACGCAGCAACCATCCAAACTGCGGTTGTCGGGAAGAAGTATTACATGGCGCCAGAAGTCGTCGCTGGATCCAACTACGACGCGACCAAGGCAGACGTGTGGTCACTTGGCGTGCTCTTATTCGAGATGCTGTCGGGTGGGCCGCTCTTCAACGAAGCTGCTCCGTCCGACCCGCGCTTTCTCGTGCTGCAATCGGAAGGATCGACCATACTATTTCAAGACCTCGTGGACACTGACATTGCCCATCTCTTGGGCGATCTCTTGTGCCTCGATCCATTGAAGCGGCCGTCGATGGACACTGTCCTGCGGCATTCTGTCGTCGTAAGTGCTCGGCTATCAAAACGGACACCGCCCTCGCTCATTTCCGACTGCATGGCTGCCCTTGCCACGTCCAACATCGTCGCGTATCTCAACCGAGTATTGTTTTCGCCATGGCAGAATCCCACAGCCGTCAGTCGTGCGGGATAACCTTGTACCAAATCGACTTTTATTTATTCGCTTCATGGCAAGACTCCTCACGTCAAGCTTCAAATGTTGAGCCCACCGCTCATGGCTAGCCACACCGGGCGGTGCATCGATGCCCGTCGAATGGTCGTCCTTCCGCGATTATCCAGTTTCGTACAGAACAGCACTTTGCGCTTGCAGCAATGAAATGGGTCGTGGTTTTCGGACGACCTGCATGCCCGGAACACTTCTGTTGGGACACCCGCCGCAAGCAAGCATTGGCTGCATCTGCTGTACTCGTTCGTACAAGTGCAGCACTATCGTGGTGTGTGATCCTTGTGTTCGATATGGTGGAGAGCGTCGACACTGGCGCATGGCTGTCGGAGGTCAACAGGACAAATGTCGATTTGATACAAGTCTAAATACGTCTACGCATATCACACGGTCGCGACCACATAAGTTACATGACGTGCCGTCCGGGGCGAGTCTGGGCGTCTTGGTTGACGCAGTAGAACGGTCTTGTTTTGGCGTCGGGGATTGCGATCGGGGCCGATCGTTTCGTGCTTGTGGACCACGCATGCGTCGGTTCCGGCGCGGTCACGTCCGAGTCCGACAAGCGTTTTCTCGCTGACGACGAAGACGTTGTCGTGGCAGCACCACCGTTGTACGTGGAGTCAAGCGCGGCCAAGTTGAGGGACGCGTTGTTGCGTCGGAGCATGGTACTTGTGAAAATGTGAACCATGGCCATGGCCCCCGCAGCAGCAGCACCACCACCACATGCACCTCGTCGCAGCCAATCCCAATATCGCAGGCAGCTGACTCGACATGCCGAGGGATGTGCCAACTGGTCCAGGTGCACTCGCGTCCCACGCCGCTGATGTACGTCATGTCGGCGCGCGCCCAAACTCACGTTTATACTTGGCGTTTGTATGTGGCGAATACGTCACGAATGTTACACAAAAAATTGTTGGATCGCACTCTGTCTCGGGCGAATTTTTATCAGGTATCCGGAAGAAACTCTTGGTTAACCGAATTTCTGTCGCTTGCAAGTTGACTTTGGAAGGTGAGGTCGACAGAGGACCCGCCCGCGCAACCCCGCAAGTGCTCTAGGTGAGGTCGGTGATCGCGATGGGGCTGTGCCAAGCAATCGCCATCTGCCTGAATCTACACCGCATGACGTGTGCGGGGTAGTCTCGCCAAGGCACTGTCGGCAGAGTACCCTGGGTGGTGCAGGGTCGGTGGCAGCAATGCCACAAAGCGGTTGTTGTAGGTCCTCAACGGGCATGTCGCTGGAGCGGACACCGCTCAGGCACGACAAATATTTCGATGTGATTTGGTGCGATTGCAGTAGTCATGTGTGCACCCGCGCTGGTGTGTCAAGCGTGCGGCGCCATGGACCGTGTTGATGGTTTCCATCGCTCGCGCCTCCATCCAACAAGCAGCATACAGTGTGACTTGGTCAAGCCAGGGAAGTCGTCACTTGCGACGGCAGCACCATCCCCAAAACATGATGGCTCGTTGCGCCACGGCATGGGTGTGATTCAGGCAAGGTTGAGCTCGTAACTTCAACGTCGGCGAGGGGGTTGCAGCCGGCCGCGAAGACACCACGGACCGACCACGTACACGTGAGCACCCCATCCGCTAGCTCTCACGACGTACGTGGCCAGGGCCAAGCCAGCATTTTTGCGCTCTGAACTGCGTCGAGTTTTGGACCCGCCGCAACCTCGCCGTTGCGGCACCCTCATCGAAACCGCCCGTCAATGCATTGGAATGCTCGTGGTTGTGGATGTCTGTTGATCCAGTTGTGTTTATACAAATACCTGGTATATGTTAGGTTAAACCCAATCGTGAGTGCGTTTTACCCGCGTTCCATGAGAATTGCGATCTCTTAACATCGCCATGCTCAGATATCCTTCCACGATCTTCACATGCGCTCGGAAGGATGGCGCATTCCTCAATTCTCCATCTTAAGCCGACGGAGGCCGTTGCGACCGTACTACGATTCCCACCGCCCCTACAGCATGCAGCGATACTCCACAGAACGAGTGCTGGCCGACGCACTTTTCGGACAAGTCTTGCTGTGCCACGACAAGGTGACCGGCGACCTAGTCGCGATCAAACGGATGAACGTCGAGGCGGCCGCAGCAAAAACCATGATCCATGCCGCGTCCGTCCAAGTATTGGAAGACATTGCGTTTGAGAAGCACGTCCATCGAGCGTTGAGCGCTGATGGCGGCCACAGCAACATCCTTCGCATGCGCAGTTGCTTCGTCGAAGACGGCTACGATCACTTTGTGCTGGACTATTGCGTTGGCGGCGAGCTGTTTGACCTCATGGACTCGATGCCAAACCAGCGCTTGGACATGAAGACAGCGCGACGGTACTTTCGCCAAATCCTCCACGGCGTACAGTTCATGCATGGCCGGGGGTTTGCTCACCGCGACCTGTCTCTGGAGAATGTCCTCGTCGATGAGAAAGACAACTGCTACATTTGCGACTTTGGTTTGGCGGCGTTTGCGTCGGCTCCCGCGCGAGAGACCGTCGGTAAAGCGTTCTACATGGCGCCGGAAGTTGCCGTTGTCCGTGGCTCGTACGACCCCGTCAAGGCAGACATGTGGTCCCTGGGCATCATGCTGTTCATGATGCTGACGGGGTCTCCACTGGTGGAGATGGCATCCAACAAAGATAGTCGATACCGCTACCTTCAAGCGCAAGGCCTCCCGCGACTTGTCGACGCATGGCGAGTGGGGCACGCCGTGCATGGAGACGCGCTGGACTTGTTGCAACGCATGTTAGTCCGTGATCCGGCAAGTCGTTTGTCACTTCAAGCCGTTCTCGACCACCCATTTGTGGCCGAGCCAGTTGTGCCGCAATCGTCCCTTAGCCAGTGTCTCGGTGGGTTTTTCAAAAAGTCGCGGCGACATGCCCTCGACGTGTACTCGACCGCCATGATGTAGATGGCACCTCGATGTCGTGCTTGTGCTGATGTAGCTGTGTTCTATTTAACAACGTGCGGTTGTCGACGTGCACCAAGTGATGTCGAACGAGCCGATCCGGACACCACGTCGCCGTGCGATTCCCTCCGTGTCTAGTGGCGCCTGACACTTGCCATGAGCCGCTTCGAGCCCACGCGTCTCCAGTCCGCAAGGCGTCGATGCGGCTGCACAACTTGTGCAGCCGGCCTACTAGTTGTAGGGCGAGGAAGAGCCTCGGCTGCGCTTCTCCATCCAGGTGCACCATGACGTGACAGTTACATGCAATGAAATGTAATTGCATGGCACATGTCGAATGTCACTCTGGAAGAATGCCCACAATTTCATCCCGTGAGTGCACCACCATCCCGTCGAAAGCTTCTACCGATGACGACGTGTGTTCTCGCGGCAGGTCCTCGCCATGAAGAGAGATTCGTGCTGTGCATTTTGATCCGTGGGGTCTGCCGTCTCAGTCGCCATCATTACAAGCGCGTTCTGTGGGTGATTCGGTCGGTCCAGCGCAAAACTGGCGAGTCTGCTGCGGTGGTTACGGCCACAATCGCGACAGGAAGCACGCATGGCAGTGTGCAACAGAGATCGCTCCCGCCGGTCTCGAGTCGACGTTCAGGTGGGCGCATTTTCACTCCCCTCTTCTCTTGCGAACGTGCATTCATCCTCCTGCACTCCCGTGGACTGTACCATGCAGCGATACACGATCGAGAGAACGCTGTCGAAAGCGCTCTTTGGTGATGTTGTGCTTTGCCGCGACACCGCCACAGGCGCCATGGTGGCCATCAAGCGCATGAACATGGACGCTGCAATGGCCCAACTTGTCGTTGGGGAGCCCACCCCGCGCCACGTCGCGGAAGACATTGTGTTTGAGGAGCACGTCAATACGGCGCTCTTGGGAGACGGCGACGGCCACCCGAATGTTCTCGCGATGCGCCACTCGTTCGTTGAAGGCGGCATGCAACACTTTGTGTTCGACTACTGCGTGCACGGCGAACTATTCCAAGTGACCGAGACGCTGCCCAACCACCGCGTGAACAGCGCGACCGCACAGCGATACTTTCGGGACGTAGTGCACGGTGTGGCATATGTGCATGCGCATGGGTTTGCCCACCGCGATTTATCTCTCGAGAATGTGCTAGTGATGGCGAACGACTCGTGCGTCGTGTGCGATTTCGGCCTCGCTGCCCCGTTGGCGCACGCGAAGAAGCCCAAGGTCGGGAAACCGTTCTACATGGCTCCAGAAGTCGTCGCTGGTGATGTGTGTGATCTCGCGGCAGCGGATGTGTGGTCACTCGGGATCTTGCTCTTTGTCCTGTTGACGGGGACGCCGCTCGTCGAAGTGGCTTCGAGGGCAGACCCGCGGTTTCAATTCTTGGAAATGAACGGTGTCCGTGCATTGATTCAGTCGTGGGGAATGAACGACCTCTTTGACACGCAGTGCATGGCCGTCCTCGAAGCCATGCTTGCTGTGGACTCCCGCGACCGCATCACCGTCGACAACATCCTGCGACATCCGTACCTGCTTCGCACCACTTCGAACGACTCGGCCCACGACGTCCATGACTCCCACCCAAGCGAACCCGCAGCGCTGAGGGCGCTCAAGGCTGCGACTCGAGCCATCGACATGACCACGTTTATCTTGTAGTTCGAGGTAGACACCGTTAGATAGGAAACCCCATTATGGGTACGTTATGTGGTGTGTACACGTGTGAAGCATGGACCAGTGCGAATTGATGTCGACAATCATTCGGACGTGTGTGTGACAGCGTGGCGTTGAGTGAGGCAGAAGCGGCTGCAGTAAGGAAGGCACGTTGCGGGCGTCTGATGTATGCGGTGCATCGCAGAGAACCTCCTTGGGTGCATCTCCAACAAACGTGGCGACCGTGCAATGGGCACAGCGCAATCTTCCACGGGATCTTGCCAGCCCATGATTTCGGTCGAAATAGATGCCCTGTTCTGTCCAGTGGCATTTTCATAATGTTACTCCAGTTACTTTGACCAAATCCGTCAAGTTAGAGGCGTAGGTGACATTTGAGTGTTGTGACATTACATGCCAAGGGACGAGATGTCGGACCGGATGAGGGCGCCTGACAGGCCGAACGAACAATCCGACACACGCAGCTTCCAATGGCCTGTCGACGAGCACTGTCCAGGACAGACGTTGAGTGAACGCCAATTAAGGCTAACCTTGCGGATCGGAAGGACCATCCCAGTCGCCAAGATGCTTCTCCCCCCGAGGTACACGAATGCGCAGGTGTTGGCCACTGCGTTGTATGGCCATATCCTGGTCTGCATCGACAGCATGACCAGGGAGACTGTGGCCATCAAGTGCATGCAGCGGTCGTTGGCAAGTGGTGCTTCTAGTCATGCTGCCGACGACATCGAGATGGAGGTGCGCGTTCATCGTACTCTAAGTGCCAACGGCGGCCACACCAACGTGCTACGGCTGCGCGACCACTTCCAAGATGATGCCCATGTGTGTTTGGTGTTGGAGTACTGCCCGCGAGGCGATCTGTTTACCATCCTCGGCACGCAAGGGTTGCTAGATATGTCCACGTCGTGGAGGTGGTTTGAGCAAATTGTACGAGCAGTGGCGTACATGCACCGTCGGGGGTTTGCCCACCGCGACCTGTCGCTTGAAAACGTGCTTGTCGATGGACACGGGCACTGTCTCGTGTGCGATTTTGGATTGGCCACTCCAGCGTCCTCATGGTCGTGCGAAAGCGTCGGCAAATCGTTTTATATGGCGCCAGAAGTTGTCGCGGGAGACGTGTACGACCCCAAGCAAGCTGACGTGTGGTCGTTGGGCGTCATCCTGTACATGCTTGTCGTGGGGACTCCCTTGGTCGGCGTCGCAAGTGTTGGCGACCACCGATTTCGCTACTTGGCCACGCATGGCGTACGAAACCTCATGGCCCACACCATACACAGCCCGCGAATGGATGCAAAGGCGGAGCAGTTATTGGAAGGAATGCTCGCCCTGGACCCAGCAGTGCGATTTAAAGTCGACGACGTCCTCAAGCTCACCAGCGAGTCGTCTCGCTCACCGCATCGATCGATTCGCAAAACCATTTCAAAGTGGTTCGAGTCCAAGCGTCGACGTGGAAAAGGTGCCAACAAGTAAAGAGTCGTGAATTCGCTCGCAGGTCAGAAAATACATGGCATTCTACGAGCAATTCGGTAGCATGGCTTTCGCTCTCATGTCAGCATCCAAAACGTCCGGTACATATCATCGAGTGCCTTCTCGAACACGAACGTCCACCTTCAACGCTTCCTCCCAGCGTTATCGCAGCAGGCCCTCCCAGATCTGCGTCAGCATGCTCCCCCCAACGCTCCCCCAGCGTCCCGTCCTGGTCGTTCTATGCTTCCAACATTGGACCAGTCCGTCGCAATCAACTCGGCATGTCTTGGATAAAATTCCGAAGTTTTCACTCGATTTTTGCTTGTTGTAAATGAAAACCCCAAATATATTTCGGAAAATGCCTCAAGTTGAAGTGCATTTGCACCAAATTTCGATTTTCGAGAGTTAAGAACGTTGGTGACACACATTCGATGGTTGACAAGACGGCGACCGACCTCTGCGCGGCAACAAATACTCGACCTGCCAGAAGAGCTCGTTCCGGCCAGCGTGCGTGGTCGCGACCACTCGCCAATATGCATCGATACACCAAGTCGAAGGTGTTGGCCGACGCCTTGTACGGCAAAGTCCATTTGTGCCGCGACGAAACGACAGGAGATACCGTGGCGATCAAGCGCGTGTGCTTGGAAGCGGCGGTCGCCAAAGTGTCTCTTGGCGGACGGCATGTTCAAGAAGACATTTCAGTCGAGAAGCGCGTGAATGAAACTCTGAGCGCCAAAGGTGGGCATCCTCATGTTCTCCGCATGCGCACAGCGTTCGTTGAAGTTGGCCACGAGCATTTCGTGTTCGACTATTGTGCAAACGGCGAACTCTACACCGTCCTGGACGATGCCCCGGGTGGGCTGCTCACCGACGACCGAGCGCGGCGCTATTTCGGCCAAATTGCCCGCGGCATCGAGTACGTGCACCGCTGCGGGATTGCCCATCGCGACCTCTCGTTGGAAAACATCTTGGTCGATGACCACGACAACTGCCACGTGTGCGATTTCGGCTTGGCTGTGTCGAATGCACATTTGCAAACCCAAAAGGTGGGCAAGTCGTACTACATGGCCCCCGAAGTCGTCGCTCAAACTGCGTACGACGCATGCAAGGCAGATGTGTGGTCACTGGGCGTCATGCTGTTCATCATGCTCACAGGCGCTCCCCTCTTCGACTCGGCCGATCACAACGACGACCGTTTCCACTTCCTGGCCACCAAGGGCTTGCATCGACTCGTGATGGCGTGGGACCTCGGCCATCTCGTCCGCCCAGAAGCCATGGCAGTGCTGCAGGGCGTGCTCACTGTTGACCCAGCTCAACGGTGGACAATACACGATGTGGTTGCCCACACGTACACGACCAGCAACGACGCAGGCAAAGAACCCGTGGACCCTCAGCGTCAACTCGCTTTGGTCGACACAACGGCCAAGGAAAGCTGCCATCTCCACTAGATATCACGACGCTGCGCTCGCATGGACGAGGTCGCACGAATCGATCTCGTGCCCCCGACAAAAAGTAAACTAGCATGTCTCGGCCTGTTGTGCCACATCCAACAACCTCACGTTTCGGGTTCAAGCGGTGCAGATCTTGGCCCCTGGTGGATCACGTTGACACGTACGAATGGGAGCACGCGTGTATCGACAGCAACCACGACCTGGACAGTGGACATAGTTGTATAAGATGTAAGACGTTTGTGTCGTTTGGCGGTCGACGGAACTCTGTCCTGACCATGCAACATGAGCACATGCGGTCACAAACTGTCCTGTCAACGCCCCGTCCCCACAGTTCCAATTGAGGTGAAGCACACGCTTGACTGGCGTTCGGTCCAAGTCCCCATCTCTCTGCCGGATGGTTCATCGGGGGTGAAGCTAGAAAGAGTCGTGCGCGGGATCCGCCGAGCGCCATGCGCCGACACTGTTGTTGAAACCATGCAGCGTAGTCCACCTATTTTTGGCGCTGGTGTTGCGCTACGATGAGCAGGGTGGAGCCGGCCCGTGCCGAGTCGATTGCATTGCCGAAAGATGATGAGGTCCAGTCGCCCGAGCCCGCGGCATTCCACGTCGTCGCCTTGCCTGAAGCGAGGCATACAAATGGCCGTCGAGCGTCGTTCTTGACGGAGACAATTTTGTCGTCGCAGGCTCCTCCGGTCGAACCAGCCCACACGAATCGCATACTCACAAATGTCCTGAAAAAGCTCGCGAGCCACAGCGACACGACGGGGCCCGAGACCAAGTCCAAGTATCGCGCGTTGATCCAAAAAGCTGCCCAGCGGACGATCATGATTGTGCGTGCCAAGCACTCGGCCCAGACCGTGCAAAAGATCACCGTCCGCTTCTCTACCCACCAGCCGACGGACCTCCCCCGTACAGTCAAGCTCCCCCTCTTGAAAGAAAAGATTGTGTGCCACAACCGGTATGACGAGAACCGAAAAAGCACCAAGTTGTTCCGCGACGTGTTCGAGACTGCCCCCGAGCTCGAGGCCATTGTCAAGGACATGTTTTGGTACATCGTGTCGTCTGAGTTTCAAGTGCGCGCCGTCGTTGAATATGGCGTCGATTCTCACGCGACTGTATATAGACGGGCAAACACGCGAAGCTCGAGCACGACTTTTACGACCGTGTCGCTGACAACTTTACCGCCCTCTTCATCAAGCTCCAGATGAACCCCGCGACAAGGGACTCAGGTTGGCCATGCTTGGCCGGTCTCTTTACAACTCCACCATAGGCGTGATGGAGAAATTGCCCGATGCCATGTCGCAGCTCCTGTTCCTGGCCCTCCACGACGCGTTCCCGATCTCTCGATACCTCTTCGACGACGACGTGCGCCGGAAGCTCATCACGATTTGTTATTCGTGGTACTGGGGGGCATTTCCATCAACCTCGTCCTCTCTCCCCCGACACTGATCAACATGACAGGTTTGTCGGGTTTGTACCGTCCAAGGTCTCGTGGGGACACTGGTTGCCGGAGCTGTCCATGCAATCGCAGCGCAAGTCGGCAGCGCTCAACGAGTTTCCTGCCCTTCGTAATCGCGTGCGGCGCGTCGAGCGCCTGGAAAAGATCAAAACCATCGAGATCCAAAACCACCAGAAGAACATCAAGCTCAAAAACGAGGACGAAGACGATGCCAAGCAACACGCGGGCCTGTCGTCGAACCAAGAGAGCGTCACCAACGCATCGAAACGTGCTGACGACTGCGGGGATGCAACAGCCAAGTGCCACCAGCGCCAGTTGCCAGTCGTGTCGCAGCGACTGAAATCCCTCGAACGCGCCACGTACAGTCTGCAGAACTCGCCTCTCATCACAACGTTCTTGAAGCGGCACAATCTTGAGCACAATGCCAAGGTGGGGTCGTCATGACGTGCATGGAGCCATCCATGTTGACATCGTGAAAATATAGGGACTCAACGTTGACCTGCGCCTTACGAACGACGCCGACCACCTACTGGGCAAACAAGAAGCACTCCATCAAAAGGGAGCCCCGTTGCAGCGGAAACGGCCTGTGCTTGATGCTAATTCTTACGTCGACCTCGTTTCGAAGTTTGAGGCCCATGGAAAGGATTTGAAAGCTCAGTACGCGTCCGAGAAGGCCGCCATGCTGCAGCAGAACGAAGAGAGCAAGGCGCTATACGCTGCAGCGCAAAAGCACCTGAGCGACCAGTACCACACGATTACGTCCAGGAGTCGCGGCGTGCATGAGCTGAGCAATATGTTGGTGTGCAAATCCCAAGGCACAGACACGATGGGCATGCCTAAACAGCCGGGGCTAGCGCAGCAGCCTGGGCGACATCATCGGGGGCTAGGAACGCCACGTCGCACGAATACAATAGCACCGTAGGACTGTCGCTGGGGTAAAATACAGTTCTATTGACTTATGGCTACAACCGCTTCAAGCTCTTCTTCACGGCCTGCTTCTTCTTCGCGACATTGATGTCGGTGGCAGTATCAACTAGCGGACGCTTATTCGAAGCGCGTGACGAAGGCGCCGGTTCGATCGTCAACGAATTGGATGTGGTTTCGTCAATAGTATTTTTTGCCTTTGTCTTGGACGCGTGAATAGTCGTGAGGATGCGTGCGCGTTGGGCGTATTCGCTGTAGCATTCCATAAACAACTTGCCCGCTTCATCGTTGAGTGAGCTCTCCGGAAATGGAACGATGAGGAGGCACCGAATGACCTGTAGTACGTGAGACAGATCCAAGTCGGCACACCAGTCGCGCTTGAGCGTGTTGACACAAATGTCGCCGTTCGCAGCGACGTTCGGGTGGAAGATCTTGGTCAAGAAGTGGCCTTTCGGCGGGACCGTTGGAAATCCCTCCGTGAGCAGCAACTTCATTTCGAAGAATCCGCCAGCGTACGGCGTGTCCTCTGGACCTACGAGCTCGACGTGGATCTCAGCAAGGGACTCGTCATCTTGTGGCAAATATCGAATGCCCGCAGGTGGGTTTGTCGCCAACTGTCGGATCTCCTTTGCCACCCGTTGAATAATCTGAGGAGAAAAGTTCTCGTGTGCCGACTACGACGCATCCACAAGGTTACACGCAATGCCCTTCCTCCATATCGGTGCCGAGTCCTACCATGATGCAGTGTCTGCTCTGGCCGCACGCTGTTGTTGATTCGATGGATCGCCTTCCTCTGCCACTGATGGTGTTTCGATGTTCAAAATTCGAAATTTCAACTCGATTAAGTTCGGATAGGCATGCGGTTGCACCGTACTTAGATAGGTAAGGTTGCAAAATTGCACTCGATCCATGCGATAGTTTAGAATGTATGGAATACGAATTCCACCTTGACAACAGGCATACAATGTGATAGTAAAACTCGACAATAACTACGCCTATTTGAATGCAAAATAGCATACTAGACTGAAACGTACCTAATAGGCAATTCGATGGTCGAAACGGTTTCATCTAAGCCGTTACAAACTTGCGAGATGGACCGGCAATCGCCTGCGGTTGTGCCGACGGCTGAGCCATCGCCAAGTGACCATGCCCGCGAGGATCGTGCGGTGTCCAAGTACCAAGTGGATGATGTCCAAGCTGAAACTGGGGATCACAATAACGAGGATTCGGTGGATGAAGACACGAAGTCGTCCAAGCAGGGGTCGGTTTTGCCAGTGCCGTCGGTCGACGATGGCTTTCCCGAAATGAACTTGTCGAGGGATGATCCTCCGCTCAAGCTCAAATTTAAGCGGCAACACACGTTTCAGACGCGCCAGCGACGCCATTTGAAGAAGCACGTCAAGAAAATCGCGGCGACATCGCATTCTGTATGGCAATTCCTGCTTCTTTTCGGGCGCACGTTTGCGTCCATTCACGCACACGAAGCACTCGCATTTCTTCTCGTACGGCGTGCATGTTTTACCTCACTTCGAGGTCCAGAATTCACCTGAGTGCTGCGTCGATAGGTCCTCTTTGGAATCCTCTCAGAGAGCGCGACTCCAGCCCCCCGATACAATGTGCCCATTGGCACAGTCTTGATGACGGTGTCCATTAAAAAGGTTGGTTCTTTGCGGCGCCCATCATGATTTGATCATGTTGTGGCCAGATTGAGCTCAAGCTGCTCACGACGGGCCTCCTCGTCGCGATGGGAATGGACATTGTGTGGTTGTGCCGGCATGAGAGTAACAGCTATGGGGGAACGTTTCATTATTCGCTCCTCAGCATCACTCGCGTGTGGGTTGCGTGCTGCCTGTTCCTCAAAGCTGGCTTTACCATGTCCGTGTACTGGTACTTGGAGCCCCACGAGATGTCGACCAAGTACCCTACTGTGGCAACAGCACGGCAGCTCCGACGGATGATCTTTCAGAAGATTGGGTACTTCTTCCCCACGACAACGCTGCCGCCACTCGAAGACCTCTCCCGGCACACGCTGTTGCGTATTGTGGCACTGCTGTGGATTCATGTGGTGTCGGGGGTCGTCCTACTCGTCCTGGGCCTCGTCTCGTGCGCGTCGTTCACCATGTACCCGCAGTTCCGATCCGCAGCTCTCGGCATACCACTCCATTATATGATCCTGGTTAAGGGCGGGACGACTCTGGCCACCGTCATGTTGTTTCTCAGCCATATGCATCTGTCAGTGTGGGGATGCCTCCGGCTTTTGCATTCGCTGCAAGGATTCAAAGGCCCACTAATCCATTGGCACGGGATCGGGTACGGCCAAGACTCGAACTGGATCAAGACGATGCAGTTCGTCAAAGCAACGGATGCCTTCTGTGGCTGCTACCTCCTTCTAGTCCTATATTCCGCCTTCCACCACGGCTCGGGTTTTTATGGCGGCGTCATGGCCGTGCTCACGATCGCAGTCATTTTGGTCGTGCTGCTCGAGTGCTGGGTGCCCCTCCTTGGACTCGTCGTGTACAAGTTTGTCGGAGTGATGGAGCAAGCACATCGGGATTTTGACTCCTTCAAGCTCTTGCCACGCAACTGGAATGCGTCGCAAGGTAACAATGGTGCAGACGAGTCAGACGACACAAACGACAACGAAAACAGCAGCAACAGCAGCAGTAGCAGCAGCAGTGAGTCGGATGAGGACGTGGTCGAACGAGAGGCTCCTGGAGCGTCCGCGTCGTGGGTGCGGTACACCGATGAGTACAACCGCGCCTACGTGCGCAACACGTTGACGGGGGAAACGTTCTGGGACCGGCCAAGTCTACCCGCCAACGTGCTCGATGCTCCGCCGGTCGATCTCGCTATGAAGCCCGAGCTCGCGCTGAGCAACACGATGTACATGACTGCCGACGACTTCAAGTACCTGTGGAACACTTTGCCCCCAGCGGGAGGGTTTCTCTGCCGCATCTTGTCCACTCCGACGGTAGACAACCTCACGATGCACTTGAGCGAATGCCGGTTCTACGTGATCACCGACGGCCTGGCTGCCGCCCATATTCGCGCGGTCTACTTTTATGCGATCCACACCGATACCCTGGCACACTTTCTCGGAGCTTTCCTCATGGATAGTCTGAACATGCAATTGGAGGCCAAGTTCAAGTGCGACCAGCCCGACATGGTCCCTGCCATTGTGCGGTGTTTGCAGCTGCGATACATACTTGGCGAGTATGAGCCGCTCAGCGATTTGTAGAAGTGTGCGCACGTGAGGAAGGAATGTATGGCTCGTTTGTGTTGGGGGCAAGGTGTTAAAGTGGTGGCAGTGGCCTCTTTTAACTTCGGTTTCGTGTACAACGCATGAGTGGGGCGATACCAAAGTCGTGTGACACGGAGTGTCCAAGGTTACGTTCATAGGGAATGCTTGTGCGAAACTCGCAAGCGTCATTGCAAGCTCGACACCACGCAGCGAGCTTACAATCAGGGTGAGCGGCAATACCAACGTGAGTGTTGCCGCTACTATCCAGATTTGGACCTACCGCCCGTGGTGGGAACGCCGCCGACATCACCCACCGAGCATGGCACTCGTCCTGTAGACGGAGTGTATGTCATTGTTGAAACGTTTGTTTCGGATAAAGATGTTTTCCGGATATTGGGATATCTAGTACACTGTATGAGTATACATTAATAAAGACGATACATTTTGGGGACCAAACGGAGGACACAACGGATCATCTCGACGCAACCAGCGGTGGCAACATGTCGTACCTGGTGCCGTCCGAGTACTTGCAGAAGTTCACGCCGAAGGAGATCCAAGACCTGAAGCGGGTGTTCAAGCAGTTTGACGCGGACTTGAATGGGTCGATTGACGCTGAGGAGCTGTCGAAGCTGCTCTTGTCAGTCGGAGAACAGCCATCGCCAGAGCTGGTCAAGGAACTCATCGCGTCTGTCGACACGGATCACAGCAACACAATTGAGTTTCCTGAATTCCTCACGCTTTTGTATGAACTTCGTCATCCCGTTCCAAATGCTGCACCGGTGCATTACCCGACAGGGCCGACATTCTGCAACGATTCGGCTGCCGCATTGGGGGGGTGGAACACGACGTTTGAAAAGCCTGCCTCGCCCGCCGCGTCGTCTCCAAGCAGCTTTGCACCCAAAGCGAGCTCTGCGTTCACTGCCGCGGCTGCAACCTTTAACAAGGGCACGAGCGTTCCGATGCCTGCCGCCAAGTTGAAGAAGCCGGCAACTCAACGTGCAACAAATCCGGCGCCAGCTCCCGTCGCTGCTCCTGTCGTGGCCTCACCTGAACCCATCCGCAAGTCGTCGGTGGCTGAAAACGCCGCCAAATTCGGTGCCACGAAGAAGACGACGTCGCCAGCGCAATCTCCGGCGCTAGGCCCGGCCGCCCATCCACCTGTTCAGCGCGTGCCGTCACAACTCGCGACAATCGTGCAAAAGCACTTGACAATCAATGAGAGCCATAGCGCAACGGGTGGGGTGCATTCGTACTCGGAGGAGGAAAAGGCCGCGTTTGCCGAGCACATCAACCACTGTCTCTCGGGCGACGACCATCTGCCGTACCTCCCCATGGACACATCGTCGAACGCGCTCTTTACCTCAGTCACGGACGGCATTTTGTTGTGCAAACTCATCAACCAGGTACTCGTATTGCTGGGATCTGGCTCCATTCAATGACGATGGCGACGCAGGCTGTGCCCGACACCATCGACTTTCGCGCCGTCAACATTAAGGCGAAACTGAACCTGTATGAAAAGACGGAAAACCTCAACTTGGTCATCAACGCAGCCAAGTCGATCGGGTGCTCGATTGTGAACATTGGCCCGAGCGACCTCTTGGAAGGAAAGCCGATCCTTGTGCTGGGTCTGGTCTGGCAACTGATCAAGATCCAACTCACGTCGACCATCAATTTGAAGAATCACCCAGAGCTCATGCGGCTGCTGCTGGATGGCGAGTCGCTCGAAGACTTTATGAAGCTGCCGCCGGACCAGATTCTCCTGCGGTGGGTTAACTACCACCTCGCGGCCGCCAAGCACGACAAAAAGGTCCAGATCTCAGTACGGCAATGTGTCGTGACGAGATTCGATGTGTAGATTGCTAACTTTGGCCGCGACATTGCCGATGCAACCGCGTACAGCGTCCTCTTACACCACATTGCAGCGTCCAAGTGCGACTTGGCGAGGGAGTCGACGGCCGTCGAACGGGCGGCGCACGTGATTCGAAATGCCGAGAAGATTGGAGTCGATCCATTTATCAAACCGACAGACATCACGATGGGAAACACGAAGCTCAACTTGGGCTTTGTCGCACAGCTCTTCAACACGTGCCCAGCACTGGACGTGGTCGACGCGGCTGAGCTGAAGGATATCTTGGACGACGACGTGGGGGACAGTCGCGAGGAGCGGTGCTTTCGCATGTGGATCAACTCGCTTGCAATCCATGACGTGTACGTGATATTTCACTTAGTTGTCGCGTGCTGAGCTCCAATCATCCATGGTGGTGACTAGTTATGTCAACCACTTGTACTCGGACCTCAAGGACGGGCTCGTGATCCTGCACTTGCTCGACAAGACTGAGCCTGGCGTCGTCAGCTGGCCCAAGGCAAACGTCCAGCCCACGAACAAGTTTAAGAAGGTCGAGAACTGCAACTACTGTGTGGTGCTGGGGAAGCAGCTCAAGTTTTCTCTGGTGAACGTGGGTGGCGTCGACATTGCGGACGGCAACAAGAAGCTCGTGTTGTCGCTCATTTGGCAGCTCATGCGCCACAGCACGATCAAGCTGCTGTCGTCGCTCGGCCAAGACGTGCATGACAAGGACATCATTGACTGGGCCAACGCGAAAATCCAGTCGTCCGGCCAGCAGAAGCTTCGTCCGATGGTTCAATTCCGCGATCTGGCGCTGTCGGACGGGATCTACTTGATCGACTTGGTCTATGCTGTCGAGCCCCGCGCTGTGAACTGGGACGCCGTTGTCCTTGGGTCAAACCTGAGTCAGGAAGACAAGGAAGCGAACGCCAAGTACGCGATCTCATGCGCGCGAAAGATCGGGGCCACCGTGTTCCTGACCTACGAAGACATTGTGGAAGTCAAGCCCAAGATGATCATGACGTTTGTCGCGTCGCTCATGTCGCTGGACAAGCACTAACTATGTCGACGATTCCATGTCACTTGCACCGCCAAGTGGGACTCGATCGAGGGAAAAATCCATGGATTTGCGAGGTGAATTTGGTTGGTTGTGTCGGTTGCCGTGTCTGATTCGTCGAAATGCACCAATCACAGGGTGCACTCGGCCAATGAACCTCTCTTATTTGATATTCATTGTGAGAGGAAGCGGCAGCACCAATCAAAATTGGGGAGGAAATTCCATCTTGGTTGGATCACTGTCGAATTCGACCAAGAACGCCATGAGCGCCACCGACTTGGAGACCGACCGCACGCAAACGCCACGTACGAAGAAGGAGAAGAAGGAAAAGAAGGAGAAGAAAGAAAAGAAAGAAAAGAAGAAGGCCAAAAAGCGCAGTCGCGACGAAAATGTGGACATCGACGACGACGCGCCTGTCGAAACGTCGGCCGAGAGCGACAACGACACTGTGACGGATGCACCTGCTGCCAAGAAGCCCAAGATCCACAACGTGTCCACTATCGGCGACGACAATCCACCGCTGTCGAACTTTCGCGTTTCTGCAGTCACAATCAAAAACCTCGAAAAGCGCGGAATCGCAACATTGTTCCCCATCCAAGCCATGACGTTCGACTCGATCTACGACAAGAAGGACTTGATTGGCCGTGCCCGCACGGGCATGGGTAAGACGCTCGCATTCGTGTTGCCCGTGGTCGAGCTGCTCTTGAAGGATGGACTTCGCAAAAACCGCGGCCGCCCGCCAAAAGTGATCTGCATGGCGCCGACTCGTGAACTGGCCAAGCAAGTTGCCCAGGAATTCGAGCTGACCGGTCCGAGCCTCACTACAACGTGTATCTACGGAGGTGCGTCGTACCAGAGCCAGAACAATGACTTTAGCAAGGGTGTCGATATCGTGGTCGGGACAACTGGACGCATCTGCGACCACTTGGACCGTGGCACACTCAGACTGCACCAATGTTCGTTTTTAATCTTGGACGAAGCGGACACGATGCTCGAAATGGGATTCCGCGAAGACGTTCAAAAGGTATTTGAAGCCATGCAAGCTGCCAAGGCTACGTCGGACCACCACATCCAGACCTTGTTGTTCTCGGCCACCATTCCGTCGTGGGTTGAAAGCGTTGCAAAGCAGTATATGAGTCCAAACCGCGAGTACGTCAACATGGTCAAGGACAACGAAGCCCAAGCATCCACGGACGTCGAGCACATTGCCATTCCGTGCCACTGGCAGACTCGCGCGACGTTGCTCGCCAACTTACTCTCCATGTACGCGACCAAGACGAGCCGCACGATCATTTTTGCCGAAACAAAGAAGGACTGTAACGAGTTGGCAGTCAACCCGGACATCAAGCAGGACGCCCAAGTGCTGCACGGCGACATTGCACAGGGTCAGCGTGAAACCACGATGCAAGCATTCCGAGACGGCAAGCTGCGCCTGTTGATTGCGACGGACGTTGCAGCTCGCGGCTTGGACATGGACGTCGACCTTGTCATCAACTCAGAGCCGCCGCGAAAGCAATCCGGGCGCGCCGACTGCGAAACGTATGTCCATCGCTCGGGCCGCACGGGTCGCGCAGGCAAGAAAGGTATTTGCATCACGCTGTTTACGCCCAAGCAAAAGGACAACTTGATCTTGATCGAACGACACATCAAGCGAAAGTTCACCATGCAGAGCGCTCCCAACGTTGACGACATGATCTCAACCTCTGGTGCGACTGCATCCGCTGAGATTGATACCGTTCACGATGACATGCGCGCGCTGTTTGTCCCGCATGCGGAAGCCCTTGTCGAGAAACACGGCGCCGTCCAAGCGTTGGCCGCTGCGCTGGCGTGTATCACGGGTTACACCCGCCCAACCCCTCAAGCGTCGTTGTTGTCGGGGGCGCCGGACATGGTGACCGTGTTGTTTGAAAGCTCCAACCCGATTCGTGCCAAGGGATATGTGTGGAATGCAGTGAACCGTGACATCCCAGAGGAATTTGCGAGCGGTATCAAGAACATGCAACTCACGGCGGACGCTCTCGGTGCATGCTTTGAGTTGCCTCTCGCTGGACTTCCCCATTTGGAAGGTCTCATGAAGAAGGAACAAGGCGAGTTCAAATGCCCGTACTCGATCCCCCGTTCCTTGCCGACGATGCAAGAAGTTCCTGTCCGAAGCAACGGAGGTGGTGGTTACGGCGGTGGCCGCGGTGGTGGTTATGGTGGCGGCTACGGAGGCCGAGGAAGCAGTGGTGGACGTGGCCGTGGTGCTGGACGTGGAAGCAGTGGAGGACGCGGCGGCAGACGATATTAAGTTTGAAATTTATTATATCATTTCTGAAATTTGAAGATCCTTCATATACTATCCCGAACACCATAATTGAACTCCGAACAAAATAGCTCAGCAGCATAATATAATACTACCTCCGACCCGAGATACACCCGACTCAACGAAACGGTTGAAGTACAGTAAACGAGGGAACTTAGCCGCATTTGCATTCGAAGTACAATATGTACTTCGAAGTATATTGAATTCTCATTGGCCAGTATAGTTCGAAACACCAAGATCATTTTGTGTTAAGTTTCACGGTTTTTCAATCATATCGTGGAATTCATTTCGTTTCAGATGCTGTTTACAAAATTACTGAATTCTAGAAGGTTTGACGAGTAGAATGCACCAAACCTTGTGAAATTTGACCAATTCTTTGCCCATAAACCTCTGTTCAATTACGTGTAAAAATGAATGAATAGGTGCTGTTGGAAAGTTTGAAGAAAAAAATATATCACGAACTGGAGAAACCCTTCTATTTCTATATTTGACTATTCATCATCTTCATCATTATCCATCAAAACAACTGCACAAAATATACCAAAATTCACTGAATTCGATCTATTTCCTTCATTTCTTGGCCTATTTCGATGAAATAACTGCCAAAATGAACGCCTTGATTGGGCGGATCGTTTCCCACCACCAGTTTCAAGGCCCTGACGAACTTATGGCGGCAAACGTCATTTTTCCAACCTAATGGACCCTTCTACCTTGGCTCGAATAAAATTGTTCGTCAAGCTGCGCCTGCGGCGCAGCTTGAACTACGACGAAAAGCTGGACATACTTTGGATGCAAGCAACGCTACGCGGAACTGGTCATACTGATGTCACTGGGACCATTGCACAACTCCTTGGTCGGGCGAAAAAGACCGTGCAAGGGGTTCTTGCAGAGTTTACCCAAGCTGGCGAGTTGTCCGTTGCAGATCCCCCGTCGAACACATCCAACCATCATACCATCGCGCCAAATCGTCGCGCGGTTCCAATACTTGTCAGAACCTTCATCCGTGACCGCAGCGTTGCACGTAACCGAACTGTGGCAAAAGATGTCTTGGCTC